AAAGGATCCATAGAATGAAAGGACACAAATTCCCCCTGGAAACAATTCAAAAATCCCATCGGAAGCCTTCCAAGAACAGCGGAAGTTGGTAGAGCTGCAGAAGGAGGGCCATCTCCATACGCCGTGAGAAAAAGTATTCCAGGCTGTTCACGTTAATTCATCGTCCGCCTCCGAACACGTCGTACTGCCTTGGCAACTCTGAGACTATTTTAAGACTAAATTTGTTGCTCAAATTTATTAAAATGTTTTAAAATTCAACTACAACTGCCCGTTGTCACCGATCCTGTTCATAACTTTTATGGACAGAATTTCTCGGTGCAGCCACAGCGTGGAGGGAGTCCGGTTCGGTGGCCTCAGGATTCCATCTCTGGTCTTTGCAGATGATGTGGTCCTGTTGGCGTCATCGTAAATGGACTGCACTTTTATAGCGCCTTTCTATCTGATCAAGATACTCAAAGCGCTAATCTGTGCCCTCATTTACCCATTCATATAGCACTCTACTCGATCTATACGGAGAATAATCAATGCTTTATCACATTCATACACATTGGAGGCAATGAGGGGTTCATTGTTTTGCCCAGGGACACTTCAACATGTGGCTACTGATGGAATAGAACACCCAACTTTTGCATTGGAGGATGACTGCTCTAACCACTTAGCCACAGCCGTGATCGTCAACTCTCACTGGAGCAGTTCACAGCTGAGTGTGAAGCAGCTGGGATGAGAATCAGAACCTCCGAATCTGAGGTCATGGTCCTCAGTGGGAAAAGGGTGGATTGCTCTCTTCAGGTCGATGGTGACGTTCTGCCTCAACTGGAGGAGTTCAATTATCTCAGGGTTTTTTCACGAGTGAGGGAAGAATGTAGCGTGGGATTGACAGATGGATTGGTGCAGCGTCTGCAGTATTGTGGACTCTGTACCGGTCCGTTGTGGTGAAGAGGGAGCTGAGCTGTAAGACAAAGCTCTCTGTTCACCGGTTGGTCTACGTTCCTACCCTCACCTGTGGTCCTGAACTCTGGGCAGTGACAGAAAGAATGAAATCGTGGATACAGGAGGTTGAAATGAGTTTCCTCTGCAGGGTAGCTGGACTCTCCCTTAGAGATGAGGTGAGAAGTTCAGTTATCAGGAGAGACTCGGAGTAGAACCGCTGCTCCTCCACATCGAGAGGAGCCAGTTGTGGTGGTTCAGGCATCTGGTAAGGATGCTCCATGGGTGCCTCCATAGGGAGGTGCTTTGGGCATGTCCGACTGGGAGGAGACCCCGAGGAAGACCCGGGACACGCTGGAGAGACTACATCTCTCTGTTGGCCTGGGAACACCTTGGAGTCCTCCCCAGAAGATCTGGAAGAGGTGGCTGTGGAGAGAGATGTCTGGACCTCCCTGATCCAGCTGCTGCCCCTAAGACCTGACTTCGAAATAAGCAGAAGATGATGGATGGATGGATGGATGGATGGATGGATGGATGGATGGATGGATGGATGGATGGATGGATGGATGGATGGATGGATGGATGGAACTAACAAGACAACAACCTTCTGTGACTTAAATGGGAAATTGAGATCCCTGTGAATTTCACAAAACATTCTGGAGACTGCTGTTGCTCACCAACTGGTCTCAGACCAGTGAGATAAGCTCTGAAGTTAACCGGTACTTGCCCTAACAGATTATTCTCAACACTTAAATGGCTTTAGACTGTCGACATGTCGCTCTAACAACTTCATTTACTTGTTTCCTTCCATAGTACCTTTTTTTTAATTAACCTTAAATTCAATTTAGTAGAATTAATTGGATTTAACTTCACAAATAATTAATTCTTGATGTTTTCCAGTTGTTTTCTCAGAGTAATTCCCCGAAGTTGTTGTTCCCAACGTCAAATTGGTTTTTCCTCGTGTTTAATTATATTACAAATTTATTTCAGGTAGCATTCCTTTGTCTTCCAAACGCGAGCCGACACCTCGGCTGTTCTTTCCATTCCCGCTCGTCCTTTATCTCCCTCTCAGCTGCTTTCTGTTCCCTCTCTTTCCTCCTTACTCCATCTTCATTTCGCCCTCTCCTCCCTCCATCCTTCTCTCTCCCTCCTCCGTTCCTCCCAGAGTAATTCCATCTCTCTCCCAGCAAACAAAGAGAGCTAATGACATGCTGACACTGAGCCTGATGATTGAATTCATTAGGCGTGCGCAATAATTGCCAGGCGGCAGCGCGCACGCACTCATCTATTCAGAGGACAGCTGTCAAATAACAAGCAAGAGAGAATGCCTTTTTATTGTTGCCCTGGAATACAGAGTGAGGATGAATATAAGGAAAAAGTGAGAGACGCACCTGTTGTGGAGGAAGAGAAAGCTCTCAGCGTGTCAATTAGGCTGATGCGTTCGTGCAGGGTTACCAGGAAGTTGACTGCCTAGGTGACACATTCACGATTCAGGTGCAAGGTTTAGTTTATTTGTGTGGGTGCGTGCCTGAATATGGGTCTTTTGTGTCCAGACAATTAAGAGAATTATTCCTTTGAGGTTTAAGAATAGATTGACTAGTGCTAAAATATCTGCTTAAAATCAGCTACATTCTGTATATTAGGTGTTTTATTTTATTTTTTTACCTCCAGCGTACCTGCTTAAAAAAAAAGCAGCAACGTAAACTTCGCGGCACACAGATAGGACATCCTGTCTGTTATAATTACTGGTCCCAGGGAAAAGCTGCAAACTGCTGAAACAGGAGGAGATAGCATTCAGCTGTCGAACACACTGAGCTGGAACACATCTGATAAGTTCAACTTCCAGGGAAATAAAGTAAAAATAAAAGTTATCCTTTTCTTTCTTCGACTGTACCTTAAGACTCGGCTCTAACCAGATGCCCGAGCCACCTCAACTGGCTCCTCTCAACGTGGAGGAGCAGCGGCTCTACTCTGAGTCCCTCCCGGATGATCGAGCTTCTCACCCTGTCTCTAAGGGAGAGCCCAGACACCCTGCGGAGAAAACTCATTTCGGCCGCTTGTATCCGAGATCTCGTTCTTTCGGTCACAACCCAGAGCTCGTGACCATAGATGAGGGTAGGAACGTAGATCGATCGGTAAATTGAGAGCTTCGCCTTTTGGGCTGATGGGATTTGTCTGGTTAAATAAAGGTTAATAAATAAACTATACATAAAAGTTATTCTGCAATAACATTTTAAATGTATCAGCTGTTGCGGCGCCACACCGGTACCGTTTCTTTAAAGCAGCAAAAATGAGCACAGCTAAATTTTTAAACCAGTTCTCAACGCGACAGATCCATTTTACGAGTGGAGCTCACTCTCAGCGCTGGTTAGGATGCCTCCTGGACGCCTCCCTGGTGAGGTGTTCCGGACACGTCCCATCGGAAGGAGGCCGAGAGGAAGACCCAGGACACACTGGAGGGACTATGTTTCTCAACTGGCCTGGGAACGCCTCGGGATTCCCCCGGAAGAGCTTGCCCAAGTGGCTGGGAAAGGGAAGTCTGGGCCTCCCTACTTAGGCTGCTACCCTTGCGACTCGACCCCGGATAAAAGGAAGAAAATGGATGGACGGATGGATGGATGGATGGAAATCCCATCAGCGTCACCGCTCTGTTGATTTGAATCTGAACTGGTTTAGTCATTTCCCATTTAAGATAAAAGCTCATCCAGGTTGATCAATCCAACAATGTTCACTCAGGTCATCTGGATTGTTTCTTTTTGTATTTTAATTGTTTTGCTGAGGCGTTTTGTCCTTCATCCAAAGGACTTCTTCAATCTGAGGAGCCACCAAACAAACTAAGTCCAACAAACGGCTCACTCCCATAATGGAAACAAAAACATTTTGCTGGTGATAAGATGGCCTCTGGGACCTGCCCTACCTGATTTGACCATTAAAGTGCATTTATTAAGGAAAAGTTTTACCGAGACACATCTTTACTATAATTTCGAGCAAACAAATAATTGTTTTTTAGTGTTAATCTTGTTAAAGTCCTCCCACGGCCACCATTTGGCAGCCTATCGGTTTTTGGCACAACACCGGCGCACGTTTCCAGATGGCCAGCGGTGACACGAAACAAACGCGACGCATCAGCGGTGACTCAGAATCGACTTGTACGGCGGAAAGTACGGCACTTTGTATATGTTGATTTTAGTTTTTTTTTTTTTTTTTTAAACACAAGATCAAGAATCCAAGCAACATACTGTTTTAACCTGCTTCTCATTATTCACACTTCATCCATAAATATGATGTAATCAGCAGCGTCTGCTGACAGAAGACACTTTTTACTGTTTTACGCCTGCACATGCGTCCTAACGAAAGCCTTCCTGCTGTTCTTGTGCTCCGTTGCTTCAGATTCACGCTGTGGGCGACGCTGCGACCTGCAGCCACAGGAACTGAGAGGTTTTAATGAAAACTTGCTTTAGAATGTGTTTCAGGCTCACAGATATAAATCAAATTACTTTGCCAGGCTTTTACTTGAAGAGCAACACATTTCTGATGCACTAACACGTTCGCTTCCAAAGATCCCGTCCTGATCCAGAGCTCTTGTTTTGATTGAAACAGGCCGTCTTTACATTATTAAACAACCACTTCCTGTTTGTGGGTCAGTATTGATGAGCAAAAGTCTCAAGATAAAATAGCATGAGCCAAGTGCCCAGGTGTGTTCTATTGTAGCTGCTATATCTATTGTAGATAACGACCCTAAACTCTGATTTATCTCCCTGTTAACTGTTCACTTGTAATTTATATTCAAGTAATTTTCTCTAAACTCACGATGACAAATTAACTTCACTTTTGTAATTTGTCCAACCCAAGAAGAGGCGCAACTAAAGCAGCTTTTGTGTTCTGAAATAAATGCATAAATGACGTTACGTCTGGCAGTTAATCACAATGGGGGGGGATTTATAATTTAACTGGATGAAATAACCCCTTAAGATTTTATTTTTCATGTTTTCTCGTTGCAAAGCTCTTATTTTGGGTGCTTTTTTATATTTGGGACGCAGTATTTTTATTATTTGTTTGTTTATCTGGTACAGAAAACGGAGGAGGATGAGTTGGTTCTGACCCCCGACGGGACCAGAGAGTTCCTGACCTTTGAGATCCCGCTCAGTGATTCGGGTTCGGCTGGTTTGGGCGTCAGCGTCAAAGGGAACCGCTCCAAGGAGAACCACGCAGATCTGGGCATCTTTGTTAAATCCATCATAAATGGAGGCGCAGCCTGCAAGGTACTGCACCTTCTTTACTAATTCACTAAAGGTCTGACTGCAAATATTAACAATACTCTTAATATTCAGAATCAGAGTTATCACAATTTTGTGTTTTTCTTTTTGTTGTGGCGCTTTGATGACTATGATTTAGGTTTACCGTTTGACAAACTTTGGCAGACTTTGTGTTGGGAATAAAAATCATTATTCACTATTTCAGAGTCGAGTCATATTAATTTAAAGTGACCGTAACACTGAATATATTGTAACGTATGGCGTGGCTGCTTTTATTAGAGATGAATTGTTCATATATTAATGTATTCAATTTATTTCTGCAGGATGCTCTTAGAACTGAGTGTACATTAGCCCCTCGCTACTTCACTGTTCGACTTTTGCGGATTTGCTCTTTCGCAGATTTTCAAAGAATGAACATGACGCACAGTTGGCTGATTGATGGATGAGCTGCACGATTAGCATAGATTTTTTAATTCAAAATAAATTATTTAAAATTATTGAGCACCTGTGTGCAGCCCACATGTGCAGGGAGAAGCTCCCTCCTGCGTTCTGTCGATCTCCACTCTGCAGCGGAGAAGTGGGCGTGGTCAAGAGCGCTGGCAGAGAGTTACTACTTGTTCTACTATTCCTACTTCGCAGTTTTTCACTTATCATGGGTGGACTGAGAACGGAAGCCGCCGCGATAAACCAGGGACTGCTGCACGTGTCAAAGTCGAGGCCCGTGGGCCAAATCTGGCCCTCGTTAACATCATATCTGGCCCTCTAAGATATTTTAAATGTAAAATATGTTTTATTGTTTCTCACTTTTCTTAAACAACTACTAAATACTTCATTTAGTGCGGACCCCTCAGGACAGTTTAACTTTGAAGCCAGATAAAAGGTTGGATTTTTCAGTAATCTTTCATTTTGATGTGGAAAGAGCAACAGAGAACATCAAATGGAACCAGTTAAACTGTTTTTGATGAACCTGCAATCAAGAAAACACGTCAGCTATCTGACTGGAGTTGATGTATTGACTGAATTTGACCTTTGGCTTGGACCAAGTTTTTAATTTTGGCCCCTTTTTGTAATTGAGTTTGACTCCCCTGGCAGAAAATAAACTTAACAGTGATCTCCAGTGGAAAATGTTAATAAAAAAACAATTAAAAGGTGTTTTAAAGTACATAAATAAAGGATAAATTAAGACTTCCTGTTCGAATAGAAGGTAGAGGGTGACGGTCTTCATTCAACTAAACTTTCATCGTTTTTAGTTTCAGTTTGTCTTTTTGAAAGCCTGATCCAAAATGATTAAATGGAAACATGGACAACTTTTTTTTTTTATTATTATAAATAAAAGACAGCATGTTGCTTGCACCTTAAACAGTAAATACGATTTAATAAAATACAGATTCACGTGATGTGACTGATGTTTTGTTGGGCTGTTGTCAGTTTCAGATTGTCTTTCATAGAAACAGGTGTTGATTAAAATAAACTGTACAATTGGAGATAATTACTGTTTTTACTTTCCATGCACTTTGTGTTTTCTATTTATTTTTACTAGTTAATTGCACTTTTAAAGCTTTTTATCCCCTTTCACCCAAAGGACGGGCGGCTGAGAGTGAACGACCAGCTGATTGCGGTCAACGGGGAATCGCTGTTTGGCAAAACCAACCAAGACGCCATGGAGACGCTGCGCAAGTCCATGTCAACGGAAGGCAACAAACGAGGAATGATCCAGCTGATCGTGGCCCGACGGGTGAGCAAGAGAAACGAGGTGAGGAAGACGCCGTTGATCTGTGGCACGACGAAGAGAGAAATACAATCATAGCGATGATTCTCAGTTTTAATCTATATAAATAAGATCTGAATTTGTTTGGACTGTGCACGCGTGACCTTCTGCAGCTGCAGCCTGTTTCACACTCACATTTCACACATTCACACCTCAGAGTTGTGCATCGCAACTTCTGTTAAATGAGCAGTTACAGTGGAAAAAAAACCCAGAAGGGGTAAACTCTCAGCTGAAGATATTTAACATTAACGTGAGTAAAATAAGCAGTGTTCTCATTAGTTAAATCTGAGGTTGACGTGAACCAACCGTCCACCTCCGTGTGACCACAGCAGCCTTTCTAGTTCAGCGTAAACCCTAAACGTCCGATTACTTCCAGCCTGCACGTTGTTTAAAAACCGCTGCAGGAGTTGCTCATATAATCCAGGTTTACTTTTGCATTTTTCAGCTGTGACAAATACAGCTTTGATCAGATATACAGCGTTTAAATTGTTTGTTTAGTCAAGATTAAAAATGTTGTAAGCATTGCTTCCATGTGTGCTTTTCTTTTAAACCGAAACCTGACTACAGACCCTCCGATACGAGCTCATTAAGCGTCGTTGCAACGATAAAAATAGAACCCACCCGGAGCGGACCACCTTGAATTACTTGTAAAAAATCTGTTGATTATTTCATGTGAGGTTTCCATCCGCTCCACACACCCGCCGTCAATGTCATGTCTTCACATTCCCTGTACACCTTCGCCTGTCGCCTGCTGGAAAGCCGAGGCTGAACAAGTGTGTGTGTCGTAAATGTGTGCACGTTTGTGTACGCCTCTGGCACTACCAGGCTTCCCCGCTCTCCTTCTCCAACCTGGTGTGTCAAAGTTTAGATTTCCCCTCGGTCTGTCTGGTAATTGAAAGCAGAGGCGAAGCCCGGAGGTGTGTTTCTGTGCACATGCACGTGTTTGCATCAGCCTCTCTCCATGTATATATAAGTGTAGTGAAGTGTATAGTTTGTGCAATCAATGCATGTATTCATTTATTTTCAGGGCGTTTGCTCAGAGAGCCCGTGTGCACTTACTGTGCATGTTGCAGACGAGCCAAGGCAGCGAGACTTCACGGGATGCATGAAGAATGAGTAAAATCCAAGCGTTCAGTCTATCTTTGCTTCACATGCACAGCTGGAGGCATGGCCTGAGGCTGCCCGAGTGTCTGGCTATTTATAAGAAACTGTGTCCACAACGCGAGGAAAACAGAAAGATGGAAAACAATTTCATTCACTTTTACTGAGGGAGACTGCTCCGAGCCTCCGTGGGGTTACCGCGAAATAATGCACCATAACCAGCTGTCAGTCAAATATTAGTTAAAACCTTATAATAACTAATTACTTTGGGATGAAAAGACTTGGCTCGTGTTGACATTTACTGACATATGGGATCAAATAATCCTGCATTTTCTTTCCTCCTCATGTCTCCATCCCCTGACAGCCAATCTCAAATCAATCTGTAATGTTTGTCGCTGCATAAATCACCAGCCCAACTGCTTCCGTGCGCCTTCATCCATCCCAGAAACACTGAATCGAGAGCGGCACACTCCCGTGCACCGATGGGATCCAGGCCCTCCCGGAGCTCGGCTATCAGCCTGAATATGCAATGAGCTGCGGCGTGATTTGTCGATGCCTGGCAAATCCCCTCTGCTGTTAGGGAGACATTTCACCCCGGCTCCTCAGTCGGCCGATTCATTAACTACCTCATTTAAAGTCAAGAGCGGCCACTGCACCACATGGCGACCTTTGAAATGAGTTTATTTCCAAAGTAGATTTGTTGTCTCCGTGTGAAGTTTTGATCGGGTTTGTTGTTCTGTTGTGATTTAAACGCAATAATTATTTACGCTTGCAATAAAACTCCTAATAAACGTGATCTGTTGTTAATAAGGCCTGAACTTTATTAGAGTTTTTGTTTTTAGACTAACGCGAGTCACTCCTCTTAATGGTGTTCTCAGGGAAATTATTGAGAAATGGGCACATTTATGTAGCAAATACAGTCGTCCCGCGTTGCATCACGGACCACTTCTTGCCGCTTCACTGTATTGCTTTTTTTTTAAAAACCTGAATTATATATATAAATATAGTGTCATGTACATTCATCTCATCATCACCATCATCAAAATGTAAGAGGATGGGAAAGGTTTTAAAAGCCATATAAAAATACAGTAGTCCCTCGTTTATCGCAGTGGATCCGTACCCTGAAGCCCCGCGATAAGTGAAAAACCATGAAGTAAAGATAGTACCGGTAGTACAAGTAGTAAGTAGTAGTTTATTTTAGTATATATATATATATATATATATATATATATATATATATATATATAAAGACGTTTTAAACCCTTCCCACACTCTTGCAATATTCTAAATAATGTTTCTAAACTCTAAACGCTCTAAGAGACAGAATGTCTTGATTTCAGCTCCCTGCCTCCGCTGCTCTCAGCCACCTGCAAGCGCTCTCGGCCACGCCCACTTCTCGCTCTGCACGGTGAACAGCTGATCAGCTGCAGCAGGAAGTTTATCCTGCAGCAGTATGGGCTGCACAAATGTGCAGCAGGTGTTAAATAATTTAAAATAATTAGTTTCAAATAAAAGATTCCATGCCGATCGTGCAGCTCGTCCATCAATCAACCAGTTGTGCGCCATGTCCAATCTTATTTTGAAAAACCACGATAGAGCGAGTCCGCAATAAACGAACTGCGGAGTAGCGAGGGACTACTGTAATAAAATAAATATAACGCCGCTACTTTGTGGATCTTCACCTACCGCAGAGGCCTCTTGAACGTGACCCCCACGAGAGGTGAAGGATCACTGTATAGGGCGTTTCAGAGAGCAATGTGTTTTTACCAGACTATAGATTAACTGCAGTTTCAACTGCATATTGACATTTTGGATTCCAACATGTTGTATAGATTACTCAAATGAATCACTACCTGTAGATTTTGTGTACTTGAAAGTATTTCTATTCCAAGTAGTATCATTACTGGCTACATCTAATCTCGACCCGTCTGTTTACATCAGCTCCTGCTCAGCAGCGGTTATTACAACACCTCATCCATTTAATAGGAGGCAAGGATCATTGGTCAAAGACCTTTTGCCCAAATCGAATCCCAGCCCGGCCAGTTACAGTCATCGATCGGGGTAATTTGGCACCAGTATACGGCGTTATCGTTCGTTACGTGATGCCAGCAATGATGCTTATCTTTATAGCAGGGGTTGTCATCACCGTCAGCAAGAAAAACAGAAACCATAGCAAATCAATAGAATCAACGATCCAATGGACAAACACTGAGGGCAGAGACACCCGCCTTAACGTGCGCACTCGCCGTCTGAAGCCGGAGATGTGAGCTTATGGGTGAAAGACCCCACGAATGGTCTGTTTGTCCAGCAAACAAGGAAGTGTCATCAAAGGTCTTGAGGGAAATGTCAAAATGGTCACGAGTTAACCTTCTTCTGCGCGGTCTCAGCTGGCTCGCTAACACCCAGCGACTCAATGGTCTATTGAAAATCTATGCTCATTTATCCTTGTTATCTCACTGCTCACATTAGCTCTGAAAGCTGCCCCTCTGTGTTCATCTGTTAGCGTTTGGTAAATATTAGCATGGCTAGTTCATTTCAGCTGAATTCCCTGTGTTTTATTTGAGGTTCCTATTCTTTTAAGTACAAAAGGGTTGTTTTTTTCCAGACACAATCTTAAAGAACTTCACAAATCAATCTGTTTTTTCCCTCCTCTTCACCCAGGAGTGTCCAGGGAGTCCACTGGGACCCCAGCAGCCTCTGAACACCACCCTGGATGATCACGAGCGCAGAATCTCCCACTCCTTGTACGGTGGCCTCGAAGGCCTCGATGACAATTTGATGCCTCGACAAGGAACGATTCCACGGACAATCGGTAAGAGATCATTTCAGCAGCATTTACTTCTTTTTTAAATAAAAAAAAATATATATAGTTAGATTTTTTTCCAAGTGAAGTTTGTGGAAATTTTAAACTTAAAACATTTTAAACTACAAATGGCTTTCGGAGCAACCTCAGAGTGGGGAAACGAGATTTGTCTCGAGTGGATCAGTGGAACCATAATGTCTTAAAACAACTCAAGTTTCATAAAGAATCATTACTTTATAAACATTTATGCTGCCCTCTCTTTTGAATTAAACTGTCATGTTCATGATTCAAGATGGCTGCCACTGCTAATAAACCAAGTCAAACACAAAAAAATACTATAACTCAGGCCCGTCACAATTACAAATTTTGCTGGGCAATTACTTGTCTCAGAAATTATTGCGATAAACGATAATATTGTTTGAAATTTGACAATAATTATTAATTATTGTCAAATTTAAGAAGAAATGTTGTTAATTTTTGTTTGTAGTACCTTATTTGACCACTAGATGGAAGTATAAGACTGTTCGAACTAAAGGATGGATAGTGAGGGAGCGAGCAGCGTGTCACTAATAAAAATGTGAGGGAGGCCCTTTGATGTGACATGGGCTGTCTCTCCTTCCTTTTTTTCCGGTTCTCAAAATGGCGGAAGCTCGGTGTGGTTTGAGCTCTTTAGCATAGCATTTGTCACAGAAAGCTTTTAATAAAAAAATCAGTTTGAATTTTGGTGCTTCATCAAGACGGAGGTTTTTTCCCTGAGGTCGGCCTGTTAGCTTAGCTCGTAGCTTAGCTTCTCAGCTTAGCTGCTTTTAACGATCCAAAAACGTGATTTTGGATCGTTAAAACAGATTCTAAAGAGAAAGGGAGGGGTCGGTGAAGAACCGGAGTTGAGTCTTTTGTCGTCCAGTGTCTTCAGTAGAAAGAGAGAGACACGAAGAAACGATACGATAAATGAAAACGAGGTCGATAATTTACATTTATCATGCGATTAATGGATTTATTGTTTATCGCGACAGGCCTAAACTCAGTTGTTTTTACCAACACTGAGCTAAAATTTAGTGATTGTAGCTGAGAATGATCCCTAATCCATGCTCTGAGCACAAAAAGATATGAAAAGTTTGTTTAAATCCTTGGCGGGTGACAAGCATTGCATCTTTAATTTATATAGTTTATTATTTTTTTATTTATACCAAAGTTGGAGTCAGTCTGTCTGTTACTAGTAATGACTTGTGCTGCAAAACAGGACGTGTTACAGCCCAATCAGGATGGAAAGGTAAGGTTTTGATATTTGAAATAGTTTACCTGTGCTGCTACAACACTTGTTTCTTTTAATAGTATCTGCTGGTGTGCTTCATATCAGGATTAAACTGAGAGCAACAAATTGCCGTTGCACACAAGGTTTATACTTCTACACATAATTATGACAAACCATTAGGCTCCTTTGAACTTTAACATCCATATAAATGAGCCTTTTAGTCATTTACTTCTTATAATTCAATATTTGATAGATAACATATATATTTTTTGGAGGATTTTGTAAAGACTAAACCCTAGAAAACAATGTAATAAAATAAGAAGTTTTATTTTTTTTGTGTTATCTTTCTGATAAAGCTGTGCCATCTGTACTTAGTTTGTAAAGCCCTGATGGTTGGGAGTGTCAGAGAAGTCAAAGAGCCACAGATTGTAGGAGAAATGTCCTCGTGACAGCCTTTCTGCTCTCACGGGATGATTTGTGTTTCTAAGAGCCTTTGTGTTTCTAGTTGACCTATCTGTCATTGGTAAAACGAGCTCTGAGAGGGCTTTGAGTTGTGTGTGCGTGTTGGATAAAGTGTAAGAGATTAGCGAGCATATTTGTATGTGTAGTTTTTTGTGTGTATAGTTTTTAAATTCTGGTTAGATGGACGAGCAGCAACACTTCTCAATGACTAAACGGGTTTCTGCACAGCAGAACCGCCCGTTTTCATTTGTAAATACGTCCAACACGTTTCATTTTACCTCAACGGTTTCTTTTATGTTTTATTTTATATCTACACGAAATGATTTTGTCTTTGATGAATAGATGCAAGTAAAACTTGAGTAAATACTTTTCCGTATAAATCCATTAAAAGAGGAATAGTTGAGGCACCCAACTTTTAATCAGCTTTTTAAATGACTTCCCACCGACCCTGCCTCATTAATCAGCGCAACGTTAAAGTGAGAACTCTGATTTCCTTCCATGCAAATGAGTTGACATCTGCACTGTTGTGAGGAGAAACAGAAGAAGAGTGGCAGAGGAAGTGTTAGCAGGTGAAGCTCCGTCATGCTGCCACAGCGGCTACGTTCATCCAAGCTTAACAAACAACATCAGCAGCTTCTAATGAGCGCACGGGGTCGAGAGTGAGAACACGAGATCAGAGACCAGATACAGGAGTCGGCAGTTTGAACAAGACCTCTGACACACAAACTGCTGTTTGCATCCTTCACGGGTCTGTCAACAGCAAGCGTTTGTCTTGATCCTATATACAAGTCAATATTTTATAAAGAACGCTCACGTATGCCCAAAAATATTTTTGTAGTGAGTCACGTGAGGTACGTGTCACTTGTTGTATGACAAAT